AAGAACAAGTATGAGTATCAAATGGAACTGGCAGGTTCCAAACAAGTGTCAAGCAAATACTTATTCCCCCCCCCCATTAGCTGAACAGTGGAACTCCTTGCTAGGGATGTGATAAGTTTACAATGATCACAAACCAAACAAAACCACCCCACCCACCCATCACATTCACAAAAGAAAAGCCCGCTCAGGACTGCTGAACACCTCCAATTTGATCACTGGAAACCAGGATTGCTGCTGGAAAATCTTCCAATCAGATTTCTTTTGATTTCTCAGGCACCAGTTCTTGGTCACTGTCAGAATACTAAGACTGACTTGTTCTGACTCGATGGAACAAAGAGCATTTCAGTGTAATGTAACAGCTATAACTGCTTACAGATTAGAATATTTCATGTCATTACCATAATTTAATAACCCGGATACAAACATAAACCAGTATGTTTACTTTCTGGTTGTCAACAGCCATTTCATTCCTGATTTGGGAACACGGCAATGCAGGTCCCAGAGGCACCGGCTCGAGCTGCAGAGCCGGAGCGAAGAGCAGCTCGCCGACAGTGCCGGGCCCATCAGACACCCGGTTGCTTCAGCACCGCTGGCTAGAAGGGCTCGAACATCCCGGCCCCTCCACAGCTCCTCCTGGCAGGGTTTCTTGAGGCTGCAAGTCACTGGAGCACATTGCTGCGGATCCCAAGAGAGCAGCCAGGCCCTGCCTTTCAAACAGACAGCCATCTCATTCACCAGTCCAGGCAAGAAACAGCATCAAGTTCCCTGATGCCATCACAAGCAGGGCTCTTTCTCTGAAACGGGGTGAAGTGGTCAGGTCCCCTCCCTCTATGCCACAACAGAACACCTGCTAGGTGAACATCAGGGTAACAGATGCCTATAGCCTAGATCTGCATGTCCCAGAGTGCGTCAGGCTCCAGTCCCTGCAGCACTGATGGGACAGAGAGGGGTGACTGCGCAAGCACAGGACACTCTGCACTTTATTCTTCTCCAGTCCTCAGAAAGCAGCTGGCAGGATGGCAGAATTAGTGCTGAACACTGCAGAGAGGGACGTAGTGTTCAGAAGAGCTGGCAGGCATTGGGGCAATGTCTTAATCTCTCCTCTAAAGAGACCTCAGGTGCCACGGAGTACAAAGTCTCACAAGATGCCTGCTGTGCACACTAAGTTTGGTCAATATCCTTGGGCTACCTGAGAACCGAAGTGTGACAGCCTGTGTCAAGTGAGAGCCCAGAGGAGGATCCTCAGGTTTGGAGAGGTCTAAGATTAGCCTGACTACACTTCCCCCATTCTCCCTTCCCTCAAAGGGCATCTTTCTTGTATAGCACTGAATAGGCACCTAGGACAATGGACAGAAGTGTCTTCCAGAAGTCCTTGTCCATCTTGAGCAGGATGCCTGTTACAAGGGTCCCAGGCACGCAGAGCTTATCTCCACAGCTTGATCTGCATGTCTCAAGAGTGGCAGCTATATTTCTTGCACTTGTTTGGAGTATGAGGATGAACCCCTGGTTGCCAAGCAGCCCTGAGAGCAAAGCACAGCATTCATAAGTTACTAGAATCCTTCTTAAACCCCTCTTATCTGGCAGCAAGTCTTCCTCCTCTCCGCTCTCCCCCTTCCAGGGAGATATGAAAGGGCAGTGAAGTTGCTTTGAGCTCATTCGAAGGGGAAGGGGATGCTTCAAGTGATATTTTGGGTACTTCTCCCCAGTAATATCTGCAACCGGTCAGAATCAGAAGGGTTGTAGGAACGTGAATAGACCCAGAACTCTCTCCCCTGGGGACTTGCTGAAGGAAGAGCTGGTAGCCCACAGTGTTCTTTCCATAGTCAGTCTGCTTCTGCTTCCTCTGCAGGATGACCTCATCCCTCTCAACATCTGACCTGGGAAGGGAGCAGCCAGCACTAAGACACAGCAGGAGAGATGCTGCAGGCAGAGTCTAAGCACCAACATGAACATTGAGCGGGATCCTCTTGGGATGCCTGTCCTCGTACCAACACTTACAATGTTCACATCAGAGGAAAAGGGCTCCAACAACAAGGCCTGTCCCAAGGAAGAGGAAACCTATTCGGCTGGAGCGGCTTTGCAAATTAAGTGATTCATTACCAAAGGTGCAGGAGGAATTGCAGGTATCCCATGGAAAGAACCACAGTTGTTCCCCCCGGCGATCAGGAACCCTCTGGCTCTGGCAACAGCTCTAGCACCCATCGGGCGGAGGCCCGGCCCGGCCAGGCCCGGCCCCTCCTCTCCCCCTCACGCCTGCCGCCTCACTTGCGAGCAGTCACATTTAGCACGCCGCAGGCCACGCCCTCCACTCTAAGGCGGTGATT